TTAACTGAAAAGCAGATCTGCCATGTAAAACTCGCCAATTATCAAATACTATCATCTCTCCAGATTCCATCCTGTTAGTAACTAAATTACTTGGGTCATACATAATTTGTATAATTGCGTGGAATGCTTGATAGATATCAGTTACTTTATCTTCAGGTACATCCAGTATGGAACTTCTCGTATGATTATTGTGCACGAAACGAATGACTTCATTACGGCCATTTAATCTACATGATACATTAATAAAATCAAGCTTAGTTTTATTGAATATATTATTCTTTATCAGCTAATAATGTGAAATCAATTCAGGATATATTATAATTAGGAGTGAATTCTAACAATCTAAATCAATTACATACTATGTTGCATAGTTGCATATCGGATACGTTAGATTTATATTAACATACGTTATAGAAATAAATAGCGTATTGAGAAGCCTTTCTGCAAATACCGTCAACATAATATCCCACGATGGAATGCAATTAAGTAAAAATTACCAAATCATATTGCTTACGTTATAAGAGGGTGATGATTGAGTTGGTTATATTCGACATAATCTTTTCCGATATCGAAGTAAACAAATGCATGTTGTGTAAGTAGGTCAAAATAGTATGGATTTTCTTTCCTTAACACTTCAGCAACATTGAAGCCATCAACGAATTGATTTTCACCTCCTCCACCAGCAGCTTGCTTGATGCAGTGAAGGAACTGAATCTAAATTTTTGAAAATACACCTCTTAATTTATATTCTTAGCAATTACGTAAGTAATCAAATACAACGTAAAGCAACATTATACAGGCATTGTAAAATGATTCATTTGTATAACAAATGTCATTACAGTATCTCACCCCAGGAACTAAGTCGAAGAATGGTAGATCAGTATGCAAAGCTAGACCTTTATCCGTATAAGCCAAATTGCTAGGATCATGCTTCGATTTTACGGTGAAAGTTCGCCTATCCAAAATACCATTCTTTAAGTTAATATGGCCTTAGCATAACCTCAGTGGCATATTCGAAATAGATGCAAGACTTCGCGTTTTGCGTTATATACGAATTACGAGTAACAAATGCTTTAATAAAGTTAGATAATTTATGCAAATGATACTATGCCTTATGTTAACTTCATTTACTAACATGCTGAGTGCGATACAGCTTGCCTTTTACAGGTTATATTATCGTTCAGATAGTGAAACAGGA